CTTTCCCTTTTCTTATCTTCCTTCTAATCTCTTCAGCAATATCTCCTAAAAATGAATAACTTTTCACTGGGAATTAAATAAATGAAGAGTGGCCCTTAATAAAAATGGACCTTTAGGTTTCAAACACTACTGAAAACTGTTGTTGAGATATAAATGTCTCACATGCCTCATCGTTTTAGTCACTTGCTGAGCTAAATAACTTTCCTCTGTCCGGCTCAGCCAGAAGCTCAAATTGTTTGTTCTCTTCTTTCAGATATAAATGAATGTAAGGACATTAGTGACAAAGTGGAGCTGTGCAAGAACGGAGTTTGTTCTAACACAGAAGGCTCGTACACCTGCACCTGCCTGCCAGGCTTTGTGGCCACCTCCAAGCCCCATGAGTGCATCCCAGAGGACCAAGCGGCAGCCCCCCGTACTGAGGGGAAGTGACGTGCTTCTCCTTCACATTCCTCCACCACCGCTCTAATGAACTGAACCTAAACCTGCATCAGTGAAGCCAAGCCAGCTAAGCTCTAAACATCCACACAAACAGCTCCCACTCTGTACTGCTCATTCAGACTTGTACATAAAGAGTAATGATTTTAAAAAATCATACATGTGGTAAGATGACCTGTGAAATGACTTATTTTTTTGAAGGACTCCCAGCACAAAAAAACAGTCGCACAGCATTTTGAGCATCACACGCAAACAATTATTACGTATTTTTATGCACAGTTAATACACTAAGTTTGTTATTGGAGGTCATTCCAGCTCAGGCTTGTCACTCAAGGCTTCATTGAGGGGGGTTTGGACTTTTTGTACAGATCTAGTACTATGTATTAAATTGGTTTGTTACATATTCTAATAATACATTCAGTACACTCAATATTTTGTTTGACCAAAAAGGTATAAAAAGTACAAAAAAAATCTGATTAACCTTGTAGATTTATAGATTTCTGTACAAATGTTTTTATAACACTATCTTATGTATGAAAAAAAGTGGTTTACACTGTATCAGATAAAGTGTATGTATCCTGCCCTGTGGAGCAGACAATGAAATGTAATTTTATGGAATGACTGCACTTTTTAACCGATGTTATGTGGTGCCTTCAATCCAGCAATCACATAGTCCAGAGATTTTCAGCAACAGGTAACATGTCACATTTGCTAGATCATATAGCCTACTTACAATTATAATTTATGCATACATACATACATTTTGCTGGCTAGACATTCAACAGATTGTAATCTGTTTTAAAGGTAAACAAAATGCAGTCCACTTTTGTAGACAAGGTTTTCTGCCCTGCTTAACTATTTCACATTAACATTTCACCACTGGGGCTGAAACAGAGGATTTACAGGGATGCGCAGGACTAAATACTATACAAGACAGTTATTTAACTGCAGTGGCTCCTCAGTGAGGCCTGCAGCGTCTTCAGGTAGGTATTATAACACCACCAGAGCTCTTCTTTAAGAAAAGACCCTAACTTGTCATATGTGTGGGTGGTGCATGTTTTGAACACATTCCTGTAGACGCTGCAGTCCTCTGAGTCACTTTAATATCCCTGTTGTACAGTGTCTGTCTTGGTGTGCACTGTGTAATCACTACCGCCTGTGCTCAGTACGTGCCTAGAAATGAAGTAACTCCCATAAGCAGATTTGATTTTTGGCATTTTGGAAGGCAATCTTAAACGTGATATATGATGGTGTTTGTAGGCTGTAGAACTGCCCCCTGTATCGGAAACTGTGGTCTACCATGTTTTGTTCATTCTGCTTTGATTACCTCTGACTGTAGTTGTGTCCAGACATTAAAGTCTGAAAAAGAAAATGGCATTGCTTGTGTCATTATTTTTAATGCTGTCTTACTGGGGACAATTGCATACAAATTGAATCCTAAAGCGCTCACTCCTACACCTTTAAGCACCAACAGTAATAAGAAATTTCAAAATGTCTGCATAATTCGATCATTAAGATGTAAACAAACTCATTCAGTGAGTGATTTCATATGTAATGCTCCGTTGTAGAGATACCCAAATTGTTCACTCTGGTGGTGATATTAAGCAGACATCTGGAACATTTAATGCTTAAAAAGCTACATCACAGAAAGTTATTACACAAAATGGTTATGAGTATGTTGCCTGGTGCCTGAGGCATTGTTTTACTATAGTTTTGAGACAAAGATTTGGCTTTAGTACCCAATAATTTTTATTTATCAGATTTACCCCTATTTTACCCTTAGCAACATTCCAATCAGCAGATGTGTACTTCCACAGGTCATTTAGATGGTAAATAAAATGCCTATTTTTGTGTTGTGGATATTGCAACCCACTGATTCCTATCACCACCACTATAAGACAATAAGTTTCTCTACAATGCACCATTTCACATCCAAACATTCTGAATGACTGTTTAGATTTCACCAACTGAATTACACAATTTGTGGAAAAAAAATGGTGGAATCGTCCTTTAATCTGGAGTAGTATCTTTGTTTTTTTTTTCCTGAAACAAGTTTATGGCATAATAACATAATAAATTTTGATGTCCTGTTCAGTGCAGTCTTTAAATTCTGTTACACATTCACACAGTACACCAAAAAGATTTTTAATGAATTATTTTATTTGACAAAGTTAACCAATTCATGTACAAACTTATTCTTTTCAATATCTAAAACCAAAACCACTTACTGATTTCTTTCATTTCTTTATTACTAACGTCAACAGCGTGCCCCCTCACATGCACACATTTTTTTAGTTTGTCACAAAATATCTCTTGTAATAACACAGCATTATTTATTTAAATGCACTATTTTGGTTTGCAGTGGGAGAAAAACAATTGTTTAGTTTTGACAAAATAAAGGTCTTGATGAACTGTTTACAAAGGCAGGCCACTTTGGCATGGGTTCTACCTTTTCCCGACTAACAACAAGGCTTTAAAGAAAGGCGATCATGGTGGCCTTGGAGTACACACAGGGTAGGCGGGGTGGGTTATGGGGGGGTAACAGCTCCTGCCTTTTTTGTTGAAGTTATGTAAGTACCCTTTCAGATAGCAAGTAAAAAAAAAACTCATTACCAAAACAAATTTTTTTCCAGATCTATTTCAGATTTATATTATTTCATCCCCCTTTGAACTGTCCTGCCACTACTGCCCTAAGCATCTGTTCTATAAATGTGAAGGTTCTATAAAGAGTACCAGACCCTGCCTGGCCCTCTCTCTCTAAGCGCCCTGTACTGTACAGTGCTTTACACTACACGGATTTCTTTTTTCTTTTCTTAACAGTATGTTATTGTATTTTTGAATTCTGTGAGCTAATGTCCACTCTTACCAGTTCACTATAAAACCTTTCAGTTTCCTGTAAAAATCAACTATACTAGATCTAGAAGAATTAACACAAACTTCAAAAAAAAAGGAAAAAAAAAAAAGAAAAAACAGAAAACCTGTGTATATAAAGTGTAAATGCATCATGTATGATAGAAAAGTGAGATAATAACCATGAACTTGTTTCTCCTTTAAAGGTCTATTAGAGGAGCAGTCAGGGAGTCAGTAATGGGTAGCATTATAGTGTAGTTATTAATACTATGTAGTTATTAACAATTTGTCTTTTTTATTATAGATTTACACTTCTGTACTCTTTAGCTGTACAAATGTGCCCAGCATAAGAGCATTTTGTGTGTTTAGTCACAGTAAAATGTCTTACAGTCCAACTTATTGATTGTACAGTGTAGGTTTTGCTGGGCCCCTGCAGGCCCACCTTGTCCAATAGCCAGGGCACGTTCAATCTCAACACGCTGTGCACCGTTTTGCTACGATTTCAGGGTTGAACGATATGTCTCAAAGAAACGGTGTGAAAACGGTGTGCAACGGTCTTTCTGTCACTTGATGTGTGTGTCAGTGCTATTACCCAGCGACGTTATAAACCCCGCCATATTAAAACTGCAGTGACCAGAGCGGATTCTTATAAGTCCTCTATAAATGCGGGCACTGCAGCTCAGTGTCCGCAACAACTGAACACATTAGAAGAAATGTTGTCGTATTTAAGTGTAAAGTTTTTTTTTTAAAGAATACGATAGAAGGACGCTAGGAATGGCCTTCTCACCTGCCATATTTGCAATGCTAGCCTAACACAACAGTGTTAACAGCAACACCGTTTCCGTTTAAAAAAACGTTTTGCTACGTTTGTCGTACATCATTACAGGTGCCTCCGCAGGAGCCAGCAGCTTGAAACCGTAAAAAACAGTGATACCTATGGAAAACATCACAGGTGTCCAATCTTGCAACAAAGGGCTGGTGTGGCTGCAGGTTTGCAAACAAGCAGACGCACATACGACTAATCAGTCTTTTAAACTGAACGTCTTCTCCTTCTTGTACGTAATGTTGATGATGGTAAATAGTAATAAATCTGAACAAAATCGTTTTCTTTGGGCACTATTTGTCTTACAACGCCCTGCATGTACGTTACTCCGCTATGAGTGGATTAAAATACATTTTATGCCATTTTTAATCGCAAAACTGTCATTAAACAATGTCAGATATCAGGCTGTGACCGTTTCCTGTAATAACAGCTTTTAGAAATGGACGTCCGGTTCCTGTCACCACCACTGTGAACAATTCTGATTCGACAGGTGTCTCTAGAACGGAGCATTTCGCACAAAACCACTCTGAATGACTTTGTTTACATATTAACTATTTGATTATGTCGATTTTTTGAAAAATCGGTGGACTCCTCCTTCAGTGTGAAACTGTGATTTGAAGTGTTAGCGCACCACCAAGCGGAACAACTTGTGAAGTTTCGTAGCTCTTCTTCACACAGGCAGTATTTTAGGCTACATTTGAAGGGACGGTGTAGCCTAATTTGGTGACATACTGTATGTGAGACGTAGGAATGGGCACCCGAGATGAGAAAAGAACAGTATACATCATTCTTAATGACCTGATAGCAACGTAGTTTCGATTTCTTCGTTGAAAAACCGTGATTCTCGGAGGTTTTCGTGTGTAGTCGTGGCCGAGTGGTTAAGGCGATGGACTAGAAATCCATTGGGGTCTCCCCGCGCAGGTTCGAATCCTGCCGACTACGATGGTCCTTTTTGGTATATATTGCTGTATAACTTAGCTATCTTAGCTAGTTTAGTCACTTACATTTTTAAGACAAACAAGCCGGACCTTACGCTCTACCAACATAACGAATTTAGGCAAGATGACAACAGACACAGCTTGCTATGTCTTTTCGCTAGCCAGTCAGCCAACAGTTAGCTAGCTAGCTAGCTGGCTAAAAGTAAGTTAAAGCTAACGCCAGCAAAGCTAACGAAGGAAGCAGTTTGGGTCTCATGACTCGGGTCTGATTACAAGGCTGAAGTTGGTTTCCTATCCGCCAGCGTTTTGTTTTCCCGTAAATGCTGCACCATTTAAGGTGGAACTGGAAAATTCGAACAAGAAGTTGGCGCATAAGAAGCTGACTTCAGCTTCGTGGTCTGCATAGCTGGCTGTGTTTTTCACATTCACAAGAATTATGCAAAGCTAAATGACGACAAAGCTTCATTAACAAGTTTGAACATGCCAGATGGACTTATTACGAGCAGGTAAAGTTAACCCTTTTTAAAACAACTTCAACTTAACGAAGGGACCTATTTGGGAGCTTTCTGTTTTGGCAGACATGAAGAACGATTTTAACTAAGGTTAACTTAGGTTATATCACAGACAAAATGTGTACGCTGGGCTACTACGAGACTAGCAAAGTGGCAAGTTCTGGATAACTGCTTATCGTAGAGGGGCATCCTGAAGGAAAGCAACTTACGTCCTCGGCTGTATGTTTATACTGGCTTTAACTTTAAGAATACTAAAACAGAGGATGTTGGAACTGCCACTAAAAAAGCATGGTTCTTCAAGGGTTCTTTAGTAAAGGTAGTGGCTCTGTTTAGAACCATGAGTTCTGTAGACAACAATTTCATGCGTAAATCGTTCTATGCATGGTGAAATGGCTCTTCAGGTTGATGGGGTGTTGTACATGGTTCTATATAGCACCGAAAAGGGGTTTTCTATTGTTACAAGCTTGACACCATAACAACTGAACCCTTTTGGTGATGTATAGAACCATTTTCAAAAAGGTTACCTATAGAACCATATATCTAAAGCACATTCATCAGTCTAAATAACCATTTTACTATGCAAAGAACTATTTAAGCATTAAATAGTTATGTACAGACATCATGGTTCTAAACAGAAATATTACCTTTAGTAAAGAACATCTGAAGAACCTATTTAAGTGTGTTGGTAACACATCTTGCGTCAGGGAAATTCTTAAGCTCCGTATTTCATGTGGTTTCCCATTTCAGATTTTCATTTAATTGCTGTGTTGTGTCATCCATGTTGGGGGTCAAAGTTCTGGTCAGATATGCCTTTAGATCCTGCCGCATTGCCAGACATGAGAGAACTGAAAATTCACACAAATAAACTGTTTGTTTGTTTGTGTTCTAATATACAGGCCTCTGCAGAATGAGGCTACTGGTATCGATCTGCAGGTGCCACAGTACCAGGAGATCAGAGGGCCCATGATGACTGGCCATGTAGAGTACCAGATAGTTGTGGTCACCCGCCTTGCTGCCTTCAAGTCTGCTAAGCACAAACCAGGAGATGTTGTACAGTTAGTGGTAGGTGGTCAGTGACTATGAACATGAACATTCCTACTGAACTTTATTACATTTACATTATTAATTTGAAAATAACCATATTTTGATCCCAGCTGGGTCTTCATTAGGTTGAACACAACATCCACAATCGTCATCTACATCCAACCACCTTTCTTTGTTTAAGAAAGGGGGCACTTTTCCCCAGTAAGTTAAATATCATAAGTGCTCTAAAAGCTTAAAAGCACCTTGAAATGTTAATGTGACACATTCGGTACCCCAGTACATAAGAATAGTAACAGATTTTCCTGCTTTGTAAAAAGTCATAGCAACTGGACTTTTATTATCACTACTGCTAACATACTCGCTCACCTGACTTTTGGCTATCTGTGAGTTTTTCCTACATTAGCAATCCCTCAAGGACATTTTAGTAAATATAATATTCAGTAAATGTGTTCTACCACATCATCCTGCATTATAAGATAAAACTCAGTGCTGTAGTCTTGGCAAAGGGATCTTGCACAGTACTAAATGCAGGAATCCCAATAATTGTGAAATATCTGGGGGGAAAAGTCATCAGAATCAATAATATGCCATGATAGTCTCCAGTCAGATTCATTATATATACTTTGTTTTTTGTCCTTATTGCATCCTCCCAAAAAAAACATTAAAGCTTCTTGAGAAAGAATTAAGCTGACTTTAAATGTAAAGTGTGAGATTTTAATTAAATTTTAACACCAAAACTTTATGCTTTTTCTAAAACTTCTGGAGCTGTAGGTGCTATATTCAAACTGATGCTGACACAACTGGATCAAAATATTATTTTCTAATAAGTAATATTGGAAGTGTTAAAAGCAATGCCCTCATATTTCTCAGTAGTGTATTTTCTGTTTAGTGGTGATCATTTGTTTAAGTGCATTATAACGTTTTTCTTGAATCTCTCTGCATACCCTACATCTTTTCTGACGTTCCACACTCTTAAAGGTTCTTTGCATAATGCTGTTAGAAAAAATAATTCCTTACACATTAATTACACAGAAAATAACTATTTTGACTTTCAAATTATGCTTATGGAGAGCGTCATAGGAAAGTATGGGATCTATATTTTCCTATGTATGTCCATTATATTAAAACCTATTGTGTTAGCCTACTTGTCAGTAATAAGTAATGAGTAACACCTCACAGGTAATTTATTAATGAATTCCACTATGTTATAATCCTGCAGGTCTCAAAGAAGTACAGTGAAATTGATGAGTTCTGCCACAACCTAGTTGCTCAGTATCCCAGTATCCATCTCCCTGCCATGCCCCGAAAAGCCCTGTTTGTGGGTGAGACTGACATCCGTGAACGCAGAGCAGCCTTCGACGAGCTTGTCCGATTTATTGCCAAACACCCAACTCTGTCAACCTGTCCAGAGTTATTGGAGTTCTTGGGTGAGTGACCATCTGATTTGTTGGATTTTTACTTGTTTTTTAATTTGTAAAACAACATTGTCATTACAGCTGTATTAAATATTATAAACAGGAGCGAAGAGTAACGTCCGTGATGTCACATCTTCAAACATCCCCTGACTGGTTAGTAGAGGAAGACGATGATGGGCTGGATTTCTTTGGAAAAGAAAATGAGGCTTCTACTACTCAGACTGACCGAGTTAAAAAGCCAGCGAAGGCAGTCAAGCCAACCCAGGAAGAAGAAGAAGATGAAGAGGAGTTATTTGATCCCTTAGGAGGTGTGAGGTAGGAGTCTTAGCACAGAGAGCCCTGGTGTAGTGTTAAAACTGTACTGTTGCAGCATCATGAGCTGGCAACATAAATACAGTGTTGAAAACTGTAGATTGTTTTAATAGTGCGCTGCTTTTGCAACACCAGACACAGGATAGTCACACATGGGTGACTGTTCACTGTGCACCGTTTTTAGTGTAGCACACAACAAATATTGCAGTAGGATCACTAGATGGCAGCACAACATCTCTTAATGACTGCTTGGTCCAGAACCAGACAGAAACTAATAGAAAATGTGTGCCATATACCAGTGGAGTTTTAAACACTTTTGTGTTTAACAAAAAAAAACCTTTCACATAAACAAAAATAGACGAACATTGTTTAATGTCAATACATATAAAAATTTAAAACATCAGTGTATTTAATTTGATTTACTTTAATTATCATCCACTTTCTAGCTTTTAACTGTGGCTATTTGAAGTTTGTTGACACCCTATTCATTAGTAAGACAGTGATAGTCTAATATTTCACTAGTTTTCACCCTGTACAATGCAATAAAAAGAAACACAGAGCAAGAAGTAGACAGAGATCTCTGTGTATGTCTGTTACAAGGTTTCTGAATCCAGTACAGGTTAGTTAGTTGGCCTGTCCAGTTGTAGACTTCTTTTATTATTTAATGATCTGTTTGTTCCATTTAAATTGTAAAATCTGGTTAATTAATTGTGATAATACTTTGAGAAGCAGATGCAGGTTCCACAGTTTCAGATTCCCTGATGATTTGCCCAGTGAACTCCATAAGATGCTCTTGGGCTTATTTGGCTTTTGTAGACTTTTTTACTGCTTACACACTGGTGCAGTGAACTTGACATAATACTAATACCATGATTTAGTTTGTAACTACAATGATTTTATTGTAAAATAATGTAAACATAAACAAGCTGGAATTTTGAAGAACCTGATAATTATAGGGCAGTTTTTCAGGTGCTGTGATTTGATGACTGTGGTATATCACTTTTTATTGTAGTGTTCATGGAACAGTGTTTTTGTTTTTCCTTTCTGAAATATTTGCAAATCAGGATCAGACCAAACTTTTCATTTTATCTGAGTAGTTCGTTTGCTCCAACTAAATGTCTTCCAGGAATATGTGCTCTCTAGCACTTCTCCAGAAGATAACTATAAAAGGTCACTTATTCTCTTTTGCTTTGTTGTGGTAAGCTCTTGCCCTTATCTCTCTGTATGGGAATGTTTTGTCTTTTATTTAAATCCCTGCTGAGAATTCCTTGAGAAAATGATGAGGCACCATCTTAAGAGACTTTCCACCTAACACTGCTGTTGAAATAAAGTCAAGTCGAGTCAAGTCAAATTTATTTATATAGCGCCTTTTACAACAGATGTTGTCACAAAGCAGCTTTACAGAGAATCCGGGTCCACGCCCCCAGTGAGCAAGCCTTGGCGACAGTGGCAATGAAAAACTCCCTCAATAGGAGGAAGAAACCTCGAGAGGAACCAGACTCAAAAGGGGAACCCATCCTCCTCTGGTCGACACTGTATAGCAGCACAGACACAAAACAGTATAAGTGGATACAGTTTTACACTTCTGTGCAGTGCGCTGGCCGCGTCAGATCCCCCGTGGGATGTGATTGAGTGGTGTTCACATCAGACCCTCTTGGGACGGGCAGCCGCTCAGCTCCAGGAAAGAGAGGGGGAGGGGGGGAGAGGGGGGGAGATAAGGGGGACAGATAGTTAGTTCAGCACCAGCGCCTTTTTCTAACAGGAAAACTAATTAACCAAAGGCTCGACTAAACAGGTAAGTTTCTAGCCTAGACTTAAAGATGGAGGCTGTGTCTGAGTCCCGAACACAGACTGGTAGGCTAGTAGGAAATAAGGTCACTGAGGTACTGAGGAGCAAGGCCATTCAAAGCTTTATACGTCAGCAGAAGAATTTTGTACTCGATGCGGAATTTAACTGGCAACTAATGTAAGGTACACAAAATTGGGCTAATGTGGTCGAATTTCCTGGTTTTGGTGAGAACTCTGGCTGCAGCGTCCTGGACTAACTGAAGCTTGTTAAGGTTTTGGCTGGAACAACCAGAAAGCAGAGCATTACAGTAATCTAACCTGGACATGATAAAGGCGTGAACTAACATTTCTGCATCCTGTAGCGACAGTGCATTTCTTAATTTAGCGATGTTACACGGGTGGAGGAAAGCTATTCTGGTAATATTGATAATATACTCATCGAAGGCCAGACTGGGATCGATCATGACACCAAGGCTTTTTACAGATGTGCCTGGTGCAGTTGAGAAACTATTGAGATTAGGAGTTAATGTAGGCAGATTATCCCTAGCAGCTTTTGGACCAAGAAGAAGAACTTCTGTTTTGTCCAAGTTTAGTAAGAGGAAGTTACTTGACATCCAGTCTTTAATGTCTTTTACACAGTCCTCTATCTTATTAAGTTCAATTTTGTCCTCTGGTTTAGTTAAAATATATACAACTGTGTTTCATCGGCGTAGCAGTGGAAACTGATGCCATGTTTTCTAATGATGGTACCTAGTGGTAGCATATATAAGGTAAATAATATGGGTCCTAAGACAGAGCCCTGTGGAACACCATACTTTACTCTTGTGAGAGCTGATGGTTCACCATTTACATTAACAAACTCAAAGCAATCACTAAGGTAAGATTTGAACCACGAAAGAGCTTTACCTGTCACTCCTACTAGTTTTTCAAGCCTGTCTAATAGAATGGAATGGTCTATTGTGTCAAAAGCTGCACTAAGATCAAGTAAAACATCAAGTTCAAGTAAAGTAAGGATATGTTTCCTTTGTCAGCGGATAATAAAAGATCATGTACAATTTTCACTAACGCTGTTTCAGTACTATGGTGAAGCCTGAAGCCAGACTGAAATTTTTCATATATATCACTCCTATGTAGATGGGAACAAAATTGTTTGTCCCTGGCTTTCTCTAAAATTTTTGATAAAAAGGGAAGATTTGAAATAGGTCTATAGTTTGATAACTCAGAGGGATCAAGACTATGTTTCTTAATTAGGGGTTTAATTACACCTGATTTAAGAGACTTTGGAACATAGCCGAGGCTGAGAGAAGAGTTTATTATAGATGGAAAAGGCTTGGTTATTTCTGGCAAAACGTTTTTAAGTAAACCTATAGGAATTGGATCTAGTATACAAGTTGTTGTTTTTGGAGATGAAATTATTTGGACAAGCTCTGTTTGTTGGAGTGAAGTAAAAGACTCCAGTGTCTCTGTAGTGGTTATACTGCACTCTAGATCTAGATCAGGTTTATAGGACACTGCACTGCAGTGCTGCGCATTTTGAATATTGTGCCTAATCGATTTAATTGTAGTACTAAAGAAGTTCATGAAGTCATTGCTGCTGTAGGCTGATGGTATCTGGGCTTCAGTAGCTGCTTGAGTATTAGTCAATTTAGAGATTGTACTGTATAGTAGCCTAGGATTATTCTTGTTATTTTCAATCATTGACGAGAGATAGGCTGAACGTGCTGACTTTAGTGCTTTTCTATAGTCTGTAAGACTCTCCTTCCAGGCAGATAGGAAAACCTCAAGTTTAGTCAGACGCCATTTACCCTTTAATCGCCTAACAGTCTGTTTCATAACTCGAGTATGATCATTGTACCATGGAGCGAGCCTTTTCTGCCTTATTCTTTTACTTTTTAGTGGAGCCACGTTATCTAAAGTAGAGCGAAAAGTGTCCTCCAAACATTTAGTCAGCATATCTAATTCATTAGGTTCAGGCGGACAGCTAATTAAGGATGAAAGATCTGGAAGGTTTTCAAAAAAGCTATTGGGTGTACACGATTTTATAGTTCGTTTAGCACTATAGCGTGTGAATGAACATATATTACGACTAAAACTGATTTCATATGAGATTAAGTAGTGATCTGACACTGCTGTGGTCTGAGGAAGGATGGCCAAATGTTTAATGTCTATACCTAAGGTCAATATTAAGTCTAGAGTGTGGTTACAGTAATGAGTAGGCCCCATAATATTTTGAGTGAAGCCAAAACAGTCTAAAATAGATACAAATGCCTTGCTTAGCGTATCCTGTGGTTTGTCTATGTGGATATTAAAATCTCCAACAATTATTACTTTATTCGAGATTGTTATTAAACTAGATAACAGGTCAGTAAATTCCTGTAAAAACTCAGAGTAAGGCCAAGTACAAAAAAGTAAGAATAAAGCCAAGTACAAAAATGCCTGTGTAAAAAGATGGCGGGATTTCAACCAACTTACCTTTAAAGAATTAGACATTGTTTAAAGATGCTTAAACATTTACACATTGATGTTATATGACTTGAAATTAAACTACAATCTATATTTATCCTGTCATGCTTTTACAAAGGCTTTTTTGCAGAAAGGTCTACAGTGGAAAGTTTCCTAAGATAGCGCCTCATTGGTTTCTCAGGAAAGTTTCAGCTGACATTTAAATAAAAAGTTAATCTTTAAAACAATGAAACATGTACACATTGATTACTTTTCGCAACTATATATTGATTTTGGCATGCACTTGCTGTTGCTTTCAAGGAAATGGTTTAATATTTAGTGTATGTTCTATTCCAAGAATCCATGTACACAATGTTGTGAACTTTATGTGAATTCTCAAATCTACGTCATGGCGTGCTAAGCATTATGAAGCAGTTTGCACTGTATTTGCTCATTTAATGTGGTTATTTTGGAATCTGTGCATTGTAAAAATGAGAAAATATAGATGATGCACTTTGTGGTTGTAGATCAAAGAAACCCAAGCCTGTACAACCTGTGCCCAAGCCTGCACCTACACCCAAACTGTCCCTCTTTGATGAGGAGGATGACCCAGACAAGGAGCTCTTTCAGCCTGCAGTAAAGGACAGTAGGTGCTGTTTTTGTTTTTTCTGACATTAAAAATGAAGTGTAGTAACACTCTGCCAGGTAGAACATATTCCCCAAATGGCAAGTCCTGTAAATTTGGCAGACACAAGAACCATATTAAATATGCAAAACTATTCACCCACTCAGAACATGGTGTACCTACTCAACTGAATAAAATAAATAAAATGCTCAGCATGGTCAGCACCATGTGCCGTCAGTTACCATCAGCTCTTACACCCACAGTGTTCCTACAGGTAACCTGAGACTGTTTGAGGACCCAGACTTAGGTGGACCTGTCACTGTTGGAGACACTTTGCTCCTCTCTAATGCCTACCAGAAGAGTGCGGCTTCTGCTGCTCCCAAGCTAGATGAAGACGTGGATGAGCTCTTTAGGTCAGTTCTTCATCTACTGCAATGTTTTATTCCTGTCAGAAGGTCTTGATTGAGGCCTTATTGACCCATCATCATGGCTAAGATACAAAGGTTAAAACAGAGAGGCATCAGGTGTAAGAAAGCATTTTTGGCAGAATAGGCCAAAAGTAACAGCCGTGAGAGATGCTTATACAAGTGCTATGTAAGGATGCACTGGTAAAATCTGAGACCTGAGATATGTACTTGGCTACTTCCCACAGGATTTTGCACCTGCATGCCTTTTTTATTGTTTTGTAAGTGTGTGTAACTGTAGCTCTGAGGCTGCTGATGATAGATTGGAGAGGATTAACTGGAATGAATATGTTTGAGCTTTGGCTGCCAGACGGTTTGGGTTACATAACACTGGGTCGCTGGCTGGGTAGAGGCTTGCCGTGATCTTGAGAAAGTTATTTTTTTCAGCCTCCAGGCCTTAGAAACACTTGTCCTTTTTAATAAGAAAAAACCTCAAAGCTTGTATTATGACTTTCTAGATATTTCGGAGAATAAACACTTACATAAATTAGTTTACTTTAGATTACCTGGGCTTTTTTTTTAAGGGGTTGCTTGTTTGATGAAAATCAGAAGTTAATAATTCACTATACATGTGGGACAAGGACGATTATACTTTGTTTTTTTTCTAGGCTTGCAATGATTCACAAAATTCATACTTTGGTTCAATACGACACAGTGGTGTCTTGATTCAGTACATTTTTCGATGCAAAAATAAGTGCCTGAAAATCTACCTAATGTTTAAAGGTTGTTTGCGGTTTCAGTTTTTTACAGCGTTCAACATTATAGAAGTACAGGGTTTTACAATATTATGCTAGCCACAAGCTAATATGCATAAGAGATGTGCTGTTCTTCCATGCTTACAATTTTGAGGTAAAGAAGAAGCAATATTTTCAGAGGAGGGAGAGTCTGCCCTCATGAAGGGTTTTCTTGTTTATTTGCATTATATATCATGCAATATAATCAGTATTAAAATGAGTCCTTTATTTGCTCCGACCTGTTGATGAATGTATTGTTCAGTGTCTTTGTATATTGAATTCGGAGGCTAGTATAGACCGGTATAATATATCTCTACATGCCTATTTTTCCCATTATGGGCTACTTTTTTGATCATTTCCTGGCCCAGAAACATACAGAAATTCACTGTGGTCATGTCCCATTTCCCACATGGTGGTTATGTCTCAACACCTCCCTTTCACTCACTGGCCACTTTGAGTTGCACACAGTCAGTGTTATAGTTTCACAAACTATTTTCTTAGCTGGAGGAAGTTGTTTTGTCTCCAACTGATTGACGGCCCCCTCAATTCACAATTCGCCTTGTGAGCAGTTGGTGGGAGGGGCTGTGTACAATTTGCTTGATAAGCTGCAGTCAGCATTCAAGTGGTGTTGGAAAACGGGGAAATACCAATTTTTCTACTTATATATTGCACTTGAACAGTCAATGAAGTCCTATTGGAAAACTTGGGATTCTAGTTGATATACGAGTTTTATGCGATGTGATTTAATAATGATATTCTACAAAATTGCAACACTGGGGAGGTCCAGCGAAGTTTAAATGGGACACAATTGTAACAGGTCAATTTTTCTTTGACTATATGATGTAGCTGTGGATAAGACAGGACAAGAAATTTCCTGTTTTTTTCCTAACCAGAAGATTTTACAGTGTCTACAGCTCCATTAAAGAAAACTTTATTTTCATCCACATAAGTAAAAAACAGTTGTTTGGTTTACAATTTCGTATTGCTCATAAAAACATATATCATGTATTTTCTGACTGTAAACCCCATGTATTGAAATCTCATTTGAAATGTCATGTTTTTCCCCAATTAGGGTGGAGGAGGATTTGGACAAACTTCTAGCAATAAGTAAACCTGTCAGACCAAAACCAGCCATTGCCCCGAAACCCAAACCAGCACTAAAGCCCAAGCCAGCCGTTCCTCAGAAGCCTCCTTCTCTGGCACAGGCTAGTGGAGCCGCTCCTCAGTCAGGCACTGCCCAGGCCATGGATCAGCTAGACATACTAAAGTACATCCAGCAAAACGAGGCTGCTGTCAGTGAGGACCTTGATCTTTTTTAGCTTTGCTGTTCAGAAACCAAAGCTCAGCAATCCTGAACCTTAACCTGACTTTAACGTCGGCTTATTTGGTGTTGAGAGTGGGACAGAATGTATTACCTGACAAGTAGTGATGTTCATTAATGATGCAATATTGGTGATTTCTGAAAACAGCTTCGTTATCTGTTTATCCTTTTCATCTCATTTTGAAACCTTCAGTTCACGGAGTTCAGTTTTCAGTCATGAACACCTATCAAACCAAAGAGCTGGACATGATTCTCTTTTATAGAATTGAAGTATACTTTTTTTCAGTGACCCTCAGCAAGGTGATGACAGTAAGAATATAATTACCTAAAATCTCCCTCGTTACTCTTTGTAAGGGCAGATTCTAAGCATGGATGTTTGTACATTTGTGACCTAATTTTGTTGATGGAAACGATGGTGATTGCTGAGAAAGAAGTCTCATCTGGTGGTGCAGCTCATTGGTTTATGGCATGTTTTGCATTATGAAGGATTTTTTCATTGTATCAGTGGTAAGGTAGTAAACTTTTTATAGTGAAAATTATTCTGCACAAAAGAGCTCAGCCACTCAAATGATGATCTACAGGAGTGTTTGGTATGTTTTAGTAAATCATGCAGACCAAATTTTTGGATTTCTCATTGGAGAGTTTTGGTTAGCAGTGAATATCAGGAGTGAGCTTTTGAAATAGCATGGCATTTTGTTGGATCATGATAACCCATTATGTTGAGCACTTTAAGTAACAATGCACAGCACTGCCAATTAAAAGAATGACAACAGAATTGTGTTTGTATTTCTTGCCTTTTGTCAGTTTTTTTTAAATTATCCATGACTTAGCTTTGGAAATATGACTACTGCTGCTGCTGCTGCCACTACTGCTACTGCTACTACTACTAAGGCTACTTACTGATACTGTTGCTGCTGCTACTACAACTACTAATGTTACTGATACTGCTGCTGCTGCTGTTATACTATTACTGCTGCTGCTGTCATTACTATTACTGCGGCTACTATTGATGCTACTGATACTGCTGCTGCTACTACTTTTATTGCTAATGCCACTGATACGATTGCTGATGCTGTAACTGTTACTGCTACTACTGCTGCTGCTACTTCCAGAGCTGCTACTACAACTAATGCTACTACTACAACTGTTGCCACTGCTACTACTTTTACTGCTACTGCTGCTAATGCTACTGGTAGTAACTGCTGCTGCTATTAGTATTACTGCCACCACTGCTGCTGCTGCTACTACTTCTGCTGCTGCTAATACCTTTACTGCTACTAATGCTACTGATACTACTGCTGCTGTTTTACCGCTGCTACTACAACAGTTGCTACTACTATTACTGCTACAACTGTTGCTGTTACTAGTATTATTGCTACTGATACTACTGCTGCTGCAATTACTATCACTGGTGTTACTGCTGCTGTTATTTTGCAAAATGTATCTTTGAAATATTTACGTTTCAGAATTTCTTGGTATTTGGTAATTCCCCCTTCGCCTCAATGACTATGGGCACTTGAGCTGACAAGGGATCCGCAAGTCTGTGCAAAAGTCTCTGATGAGAAGATGAAATCCACCTGAGAGTCGCCTGGACACGAGCTTCAGTAAAAGAGATCAGACAAAAAAAACTGACATATTTGTAAAAAAAATTGCTTAAATTTAAATAATGACAAAAATAATGCATTTCGTTGTTTTTAATTTTTCAAAATTCTACAACTTTCTGTTGTTATTTTCAGGTTTAAATGAACAGATGTTTCATGTGGTCTCAGACGTCTTTTTTGTAACTGATAATTAGAAAGAGATCCTTACCCTCTGAAAGGTCCTGGAGTAATGGATAACACAAAGTTGCAGTGTGGTATGTGCTGGTTTAACCTTAGCTCCCAATTTGTAATCCAGTGTTGTAAGTACACGAAATTGTAAAATTCTCGGCACTAGTCAAAAAGATGAGCAATGTAATGATGAACTTGTGACTGTAGAACATTCATCAAGAATGTTATTCTACTTATTTATTATTTACAGTAAACGTCACCACTTGGTTATCAAAGAGAGAAGTTGAAGTGGAAAACCTGTGTTTTGTGTATATATATATACACGTGTCTTTGTGCTCTTTGCTGTTATCTGTGTGAATAATTTACTGAGATTTGCAGAAACAGCCTTCAAGGATGAATCTCAGGATGACAAGTATGAATGCTGGGTAACTACTTCAGTGAAGCACTAGGGGGCATTAGGTTCAAATTTCCAAGTAACATTCTTGTCATTTCACAGTTTGCCAGAGGTAGCAAAGTGTTAACCATTTGAACTTCTTGAAATGTTTTAATGAATTAATCTTTAGATTCATTACTCAGTAATTACTATGATGTATTTAGTAACTACTATTCAACAAATATGTGAGTAATGAGCAGGGCTCAGTTCAAGGAGGTGGGGCGGGGGGGCGGGGGGGGCGTGCTTAATGTCATTATGTGAGATCACCTGAAATGTCTATTATTTGAATTTCATCCCTATTTGCATCTATTTGAACTTCAACCCAAAACCTAAACCTAATCACCCTCAAATCTTTGTTTAAACCGAAATACTAACTCTGCCCTAAACACTGTTGAGAATCAGCAGAGTTTCGACAGATAGTTTCATTCATTTAGTTAATAATTTGAACATCTATATAATAACTGGGAAATGGGAACCATCCAAATAAAGTGAAAAATTAACAAAATAAAAAAAGTAACAAAATTCATTTTGTTAATTTCAGCTGTATTGTAACTTATGAAGTAATACTTTGGGTTTAACTGAACAACAGCAAGCTAGAAAAGTTTCACATAACCCGCTATTTAAAAAAATGTTGGGACACTAATCAAAATGTCCAAACAAGAAATCTTGAACCCAAAGCTACTTCTGGAGAGACTCAAAATTTTGGTATTAGGATTTTGAATTAGAATATTCAGTCAAGTATTCAGTCAAAGAATAGTGTCTCTTACTAACACAATGTCTGTTATCTCTGGCCATACAGAAGACAAAATCCAGCAAACCTGGCTGAGCATCAGCTGTGTAAACTCATGCTCTCCATGCTGAGAAGACCTCAAGCTGTCCTCCAAAAGAAGGGATACGCAACAAAATACTAACCTAAATAAAATTCTAAATACTGACAAAGATATAGGAAAAATGCATCAGTGTTAATCCCACTAAAGTTTAAGTACTTTTAGTTGTTGTACTTAAGTTTGCAGTTAAACCTTGTCATTATTGCTGATTGCTATAATGTTTACGATGGATGCAAATGAATAAAGTTTTGAATAAACAGACATAATTTGAATTCAGTGAGTGTCCCAAGACTTTTTTTCCTCCGTCCCCTGCCATTTTTATTACCCTGGACTTTTGAACCCACCATCCCCCACTTTAAAATGTTTCTACAGTTTGACTGCTGGTTATGAGGGTGAAGAACTGAAGTGTGGGCCACATACTGAGTAACACTAGAGACTGAGTAATTATAGAGCTTTTAGGAAATTAACTACAGGGAAAAGGCTGTAAGAGCCCAGAGTATGAAAGCTTATTGACAAGTAACTGTTGTTTATCAGGACGTTTCAGTGGAGGGTCTGTTGTGCACATGATGTTTTGTTCCCTTCTATGTGTCCTGGACGTTGAATGTTGATTTTTTCAGCTCTGATAGAGCTCTATGACTCATAATTATCAGTAAACTTAAAGGTCAGTGGCCAAGTGATCATAAAACTCATGGCTGAAATGTCATGGCAGCACGCAGAATGGCTTGTGTAGAGGTCAGCAGAGTAATGATTCTGTCTTATGTTGTAGGAGGATGTTTGTCAGATGCGTAATGTAAAGAGAGAATATCGCTATGTGCTGAGAGGTCAGCACTGCAGGACAAAGAGTGGAGTAGAAATGGAATGGCACTGTATATAATGAATCGTCACTTTTATTATAGGGCTCTGGTCTCCTCCACATTGCTTGGAACTCTGGAGAGAGCTTTTATACCAGGCACGTTTCTCTTATCTTCTGTGTGTTAAAGGGGAATTCCACCGATTTTTCAAAAGTTCTGCATAACTCAATACATAAACATAGCCATTCAGAGTGGTTTGATATAAAATGGTTCATTGTAGAGCCCATGTGTCAAACACAAGGCCTGCAGTCCAAGTCAGGCCCGTGACACAGTTCTAGTCGGCCCATGAAATTATTTTAATTTTCTATTCTTAGTAGCCTGTTTCACCCTGGGATGCACTACAGTCCCCAGTATGCACTGCAACGTAGTGTGCGTTCAGACCCCCTTCCCCCAACAACAATCTATGGCCAGCGGTTACATGAAAAGAAAAGATGCCTGGTGTCTAGTTCAAGCAAATAGGCAGTTTAAAAGAAAAATAACCTAAAACAATGTATTTTTATGTAAATTTATTTTTGAATATGTATTTAATGTCTATGTAAAAAAAAATAATAATAAAAACACAGCTGGCCCACAGATTTGCTGCGATTTTTTAATATGGCCCTTTCAGTGGTTGAGTTTGACACCCCTGCTGTAGAGGAACCTGTGAAATTATATTTCTTTAAAGTGATGGTCATTGGAACCAGGGGTCATGCTGTCTACAACACAAATATGGTCATTTTATTTACTATCCAAAGCTACCAGTAATCATATACAAGTTTTTGTATATAATATTTATAATGAGGACTTCTTTGACTTACAATGACCTGTGGCTGTCCTCCCTGAATGAATTTACATGAACGGAAATACATTTAAGATGCATTTATAAACTCAAAAATATCATTAAAAAATGCCTCAGGCATCAGGCAGCATATTCACGACCATTTCATGCAATAACTTTCTGTGAAGTAGTTTTAGAGCCATTAAATGCTTTGGACGTCTGGTTCCCATCACTACCACTGTGAACAATTCTTGCTCAGTACGTTTTTCTAGAATGGAGCATTTCTCATCAAACCACTCTGAATGACTTGATCAAATCTCAAGCATTTAATTATGTGGGCATTCTGAAAAATTGGTGGAGTTCCCCTTTAAGCAGCTGCAGTGGCATGCTTTATATTGAGTGTGGAATGACTGCAGCCTGAGGGTTACAAAAAAAGTGATTTATGTGTTCTATAGATATGACTATTCACACATATGAGCTACCGAATTCTAGCCCACTCAATCTTTATATTGAATTAAAGGCGTCCCTCAGCTGCTCCATTTCTTAGGTAAAAAAACTTGTCTGTAAATTCTTTTTCGGAAAAGGAAAAGCATCATTCATGTGTTTTTAATTATAGCATACCAGTAATGTAGTACTTACAGTAAAAGTTTGCGTTTGGTAATTGCGCTCTTGGATGTTTGAACAACTGTGATGAAATATTTCTAGGAAATGCCAAAATCAACCTAAAAGTGGGTTTTTGTCCAAGAACATTCCAGCACAGCGCATGATTCATGGCTGCTGAGCTCCGTTTGTCTAGCAGTCTGGGCAGCTTTCAGACTTCAGCTTGGATTCCACCATTTGCAAAACATTCACATTTATGGAGAGAACAGCACTCGGATTAAAGTGTCATAAAACTTTTAAAATGTGTTTTTCACCTGTGGCCTCAAAACTATAAAGCCTAAATAGCCTAAATACTGTAAAATCTAGAAATATTAGAAATGCTTGCTGTGTTATTCTAATCTTAAAGGGAAATTCCAATGATTTTGCAAACATTTTGCATAATTAAATGGTTAAGGTATAAACAAAGTAATTCAGAGTGGTTCGGTGTCAAATACTGTGTTCTGTGAGTCAGAATTGTTCACTGTGGTGGTGACGGGAA